AACCCGAGGGATGGTCGAAGAACTCGATGACTTCACTTCGGTATGTTTTGTTTTACTTCTAATCACATACCCGAGGGATGGTCGAAGAACTCGATGACTTCACTTCGGTATGTTTTGTTTTACTTCTAATCATATACCCGAGGGATGGTCGAAGAACTCGATGACTTCACTTCGGTATGTTTTGTTTTACTTCTAATCACATACCCGAGGGATGGTCGAAGAACTCGATGACTTCACTTCGGTATGTTTTGTTTTACTTCTAATCACATACCCGAGGGATGGTCGAAGAACTCGATGACTTCACTTTGGTATGTTTTGTTTTACTTCTAATCACATACCCGAGGGATGGTTATACACTTTGATATTACTATGTATAATAAGAGTTATTTCTATTTTGTAAGCCGCACATGGTTATAAAACTTGATGGTCTCTATATTGTAGGACTTCTGTGTCATTAAATAAACACACCCATGCACGTACAAACGATGTTCATAGAAAGCTATTTAGATGTTGTTCATCTCTACGTATGTATACAACAAACACCAGTCGAGTCTCACTTCCGACATTCTCTTGACAATTTACAATCCAGCACAAGGTTAACAATTGTTAATTCTTACATGAAAGGTCACGACGGAACGCCAATAAAACCAGTCCTGGGTGGGAAAGCATAGAATGTAATAAAAAAAACTGCATATAAAGAAGATCATCACAAGGTCAGTTCTAATAAAAAAATGGGTTAAGGTCATCCAGAAGTATTTATATTTAAAAGAATCTTAGACGATTAGCATTTTATGAAAGTAAATTTTATGGATATACACAAACATGCAAGAATAAAATTCATACTTTTTCCTTAACCGATAAAGGTATAAAAAGAAGAAAAAACTATTCATAAAATCGCATAATTGCAAATTTAAATAGTTCTTTTGAAATCAAACGCATTGTCAATGCTTGCGTTTTTGTTTTGGTGCACAATCAGTGGGATACAGTACTATGCTTATAAGTTATATATGAGAGTACAAATTAAAAAATACAGAAGTTTTAAAAACATCCGCATAAATGTTACTGCTATTAAGTAATATAGTGTTACGACAGCAGAAGTTACGTGACACTAGTAACACGTCATGAGTTTCTAGAAGGAACATGACTGTTCCTAGCAACTCTAGTCTTTTCTACGCCCCCTCTATTTTAGTATATAAGCCGACAAATAAAGCGGAGGGATAATTGCAGATAGGGAGATATAGAGACAGATAATCGAGTCAAGTTGTAAGTAAAGAGCGTGAATCGTTGTGAATTATAGCGTGTGTTGAAGTTAAAGAGACTGTGGAAATTAAGAGTATTGCACAGTTGTATTGAGAAAGAATAAACTAGTTTTATTTAAGAAAGGACTTGTATCGCTGAAGCTTCTGGGAAATAATTTTTACGGGAAATTAACAAACGACCAGAGACGTAACAACAATTAACAAGGGAAAATGGCATCTACAGTATTTCTACGAATAGTATACAGGGTGCGGGGAGCAAGAAATCGCATATTTAGAGAGAAGGGCGCCATAATAAAAGTGTGCAGACCGCCGGACTACTGGCAGCTAGTCAATAATTGACACCGCCAACTCTTAGGCTACTGGTTTGGATCGAATGGTGAGATTAGAGTGTTACCCCTATAACGCATCCACGGCCCCAAAATGCGTAGTGCAATTTTTATTTTATTGTTATTATTATTTTATTTTTTTGCAGTAACAGGAAGCAAAAAACTAGCCCTCAAATCCAAAGTCTGGCACGTTAATCATAGGCCACGCTCGGCCCTCTGTGTTTAGTACAAAGAAAGGTATTATTATGTATTGTTACGTCTCCGTTCGTTAGTTGATTTTCCGTAACTTCGTTCCCACGAAACTTTAGCGACACAAGTCCTTCCTTAATAAAACTGGTTTATTCTTTCTGAATATAACTTTACCGATACACTTATTTTCAACAGGCGCTCTATAACAAACGCTATAACAATGAACGTTAACTTCAACAATACTTTCTGACTGCAGTTCAATTACTCACTACCTACACACATTGTCACG